CCTGCATTATGTTAATACAAATGCAGTCACAAAGTATCACTGGAGGTTGATCTCCTTGACAAAATCTAGGTACTATTTTCTGTTTTATAATCTACATCGTCATGGGGGCTGGTTTGGTGATGGGATTCCTAGCTTTAATACGGCAGTCTTGCAACTCTGGGGGGGGGGGCCTAATTTCCATCAAAGAGACTTGTATGCTCAAAAATATAGTGTAAGGTAAACGGGCATTAACCAATCTACTCTATCCAAAATGTGTGTATGACTTTAGTAGGAACGTTGTAAACGACTTCTGGGAGTGATGCGGGATATGAATGGTAATATGATGACAAAAATTCAGTAAATAAAATATGTCAAATAAAATGAGCAACAAAAACTTTACGTATAGACACTTTTTGTAATAAAATACAGTGAAGTGCTAATGAACTCATAAAAATATAGGAGGTTTTATATAAATATATACTGTATATATGTGTGTGCAAAATATTGCATATTTCTCTTTTGTCCATGAGGGACAAAGCTTTACTGATAAGCAACCAAGGGCTATACTGCAACCTACAGTAGAAATGGGCACTGTTTTCTGTTTATGCCCAAACTACCATTTTAAAACTTCTCACTGTTTCTCATGAGGCTACTAGAGGAGGAGAAGTTCCCACCATCTGAATTTCAATCAGCAGTTGTTTAACCAAAATAGAAGGAATTTTTTATTTTTTTAATCAAGGTTCCACTTTAAAATGACAGGATTTCACTGTTACTTTCACCTACCACGTTATCTCTCCTCAGTTCTAATAGACCAAGACCTTCTGCCAAGGTTTTTCCTCATCGTCCCCTACTGGATGAATTTATTTTCAAACTTTGGAAACACCAGACAAAAAATTCCTTGCCCCTAAATGGTTCAAGACACTCTAACCCTTTGCAAAGTATTTTGTTCTAAATGGGACTACTCCTTCTGGAGCTGGGCTTTCAGTGTCTCACTCTAACAAGGCTTGAGCTATTCGAAGATACTCTAACCTATGAGGACCCTACAATTTCACAATTTATCTACTCTTTGCTGGGCTCTGCCCTTCAAACCTTACTCACCACTGCAGTGGTTTCCTCAATTTATAGACTGCTTTGACCATCATGTTAAACGTTATGTGCAACATGGCACTGGATGCTAGCTGTGCTATATCTCATGTTTCCCTTTCTTCTGTACAGATCTGCACAGTGATCTGATTTAAGTGCTGGTTGGTGGGGCAGAAGTGTAAGGAGGCTTTCCTATGACTACCCTTTGTGGGAGGTCATATTTTCAGCTCTTTGATGGAGGAAATGGTTAAAAAAGTGAGGAGGGGTAACAGTACTCACTTATTTCAGCAACACAAAAATAAGGATCAATGGCTCAGATCAAAACCTTCCTATTCTGCATCAAAATGTTCCTTCCATCCTTCAAGTCAGGTTTCAGTTCCTGGACCCTCTAGTATTCTTCCACTCCCTCATGCTGAGAGAATTCTAAACATTCTTGGCAAACCAAAAGCTCAAAACCCGTTGATAAATCTGCCTTAGCATAAAAGTCCGCACAGCAACATCAAAGATGGAAGTATGTCTGATGGCTTTTGTTGAAATTTGTGAAGTTTGTATAGCTGATGCATGGGTGCAGGAGGTTGTATCCAAAGATTACAAAACAGAGTTTTGCCACTGTCCTCCACCTCGATTTTTTGCGGTCGTCGTCTAGTGTTTCAGCAGCATCTGATAAACCCTCAGGGATTGTTGAACCAGAGAGTTTGCATTCCGGTTTCTTCAAACCAAATATTTATTTTTTTATTCAAACTTGTTTACAGTTCCTAAACCCAAATGAGCTCTATGTCTTATTTTGGATTAAACCGCTCCTAATAATTTCCATCTTTACAGATCACCAGCGATTTTATTGCTTTGACTTGGAAAATAACCACTATCAGTTTATGAACCTTCCCTTCAGCCTTCTTCATCTCAGAGGTATTCCAGTCATTGGATATCTAGATAATCTGTTGCTGCGCAAACAGACCTCTCTGACTTTGGAATCCAATATGTTAATCAAAGTGCAGACCTTGAAGGAAGTCATCCCCGATTCCATCACATCACTTGGAGTTCTCCTAGATACCTTTTAGGCCAAGTTCTTACCAACCCCTGCAACATTTATTATTGTATGTGAAAGGCTTGTTTCAGTTGGCAGAGTTTGTTCAGTTGGGGGTACAACAACACTTAGTCCTTAGCACCATCAAGAGTCAGTTGTCTGTCCTGTCTGTTCTTTTAGAACATCCTATTGCTAATAATTCACTGATTCCTACCTTCAAAGAGCTGCACACATTGCTTCCCCTGTTCAGCCCCCACTTCAACCATGGAGTTTAACTCTAGTGTTGTCAGTATTACATAGACCCTCATTTGAAATTATTCAGCACATTTCATTGACTTTGTTATTCTGTAAGGTAGTCTTTCTTGTGAACCATTACTTTAGTAAGAAAACTCTCTGAGTATTCAGCAATGTTCTGTAAGAAGCCTCATTTTATGATAAAGAAAAGTTTGTTTTGAGACCAAGGCACATTTTGCCTAAAGTGGTCTGTGCTTTTTACCTCAATGAGGACATTGTGTTACTTTTGTGTGTGTCCTGCACAGGTACACCCCAAGAAGATCTCTATCCATTGTCTGGATGTGGTATCAAGGTTTTCCTCTTGGTCACTGTTGCTGTTCTATAAAACTATTTTTGTTTATTATTCCAGAAATTTCTCCAGCTTCCAGATCCACTCTAAATGGATTCCACATATTGTTGTGCACATCTATAATTTGTGAGAAAAAAAGTGCCTCCTTTTCCTGTTAAATCCCACTCCACCAGGATTATGAATGCTTCATTGGGTTTTTTGGCAACTGTGTCTCAGATATGTAAAGCTGCAACCTGCTCACATGTTGTCTGAGTTCTACAAGGTCAATGTATCTTCCTTTGCAGATAGTACTTTCAACCAAAGGGTTCTGCAAATGGCTATTTATTGTCCTTGATTTTGCTTTTGTTTGGTTTTTTTGCCTGTGGTGTTTAGCCATGCCTGCCTTTCGATTTGGACATCCTTTGGTTGCTCATTGTCAGTAAAGCTGTGCCCATCAGTGAACAATAAAGAAAACAGATTTTTGTTCTCACCCTAAAATTATTTTCTCAGAGTTTGTTGAGAGGCACTGCTCTCTATCCTGATATACTATATTGCCAAAAGTATTGGGACACCCCTCCAAATCATTGGATTCAGGTGTTCCAATCACCTTCATGGCCACAGGTATATAAAAGCAAGCACCAAGGCATGCAGACTGCTTCTACAAACATTTATGAAAGAATGGGTCGCTCTTAGGAGCTCATTTAATTCAAGCGTGGTCCCATGAAAGGTTGCCACCTGTGCAATAAGTCCATCTGTAAAATTTCCTAGCTACTAATATTCCACGGTCAACTGATAGTGGTATTATAACAAAGTGGAAGCAGCTAGGAACAACAGCAACCTAGCCACGAAGTGGTAGGCCACGTAAAATGATAGAGCGGGGTCAGCACATGCTGAAGGGCACAGTGCGCATAAGCCGCCAACTGTCTGCAGAGTCAATAGCTAAAGACCTCCAAACTTCATGTGGCCTTCAGATTAGCACAACAACAGTGCATAGAGAGCTTCATGGAATGGGTCTCCATGGCCGAGGAGCTGCATCCAAGCCTTACATCACCAAGTGCAATGCAAAGTGTTGGATGCAGTGGTGTGAAGCACTCTGCCACTGGACCCTAGAGCAGTGTATATCTGTTCTCTGGAGTGACTAATCACGCTTCTCTGTCTGGCAATCCAATGGACGTGTCTGGGTTTGGCGGTTGCCAGGAGAACGGTACTTGCCTGACTGCATTGTGCCAAGTGTAAATTTGGTGGAGGGGGGATTATGGTGTGGGGTTGTTTTTCAGGGGTTCGGCTTGGTCCCTTTGTTCCAGTGAAGGGAACTTTTAAGGTGTCAGCATACCAAGACATTTTGGACAATTTCATGCTCCCAATTTTGTGGGAACAGTTTGAGGATGGCCCCTTCCTGTTACAACATGACTGCACACCAGTGCACAAAGCAAGGTCCATAAAGACATGGATGAGCGAGTTTGGGGTGGAGGAACTTGAACGGCCTGCACCTCAACCTGATAGAACACCTTTGGGATGAATTAGAGCGGAGACTGTGAGCCAGGCCTTCTCGTCCGACATCGGTGCCTGACCTCACAAATGCTCTTCTGGAAGAATGGTCAATAAATACCATAGACACAATCCTAAACCTTGTGGACGGCCTTCCCAGAAGAGTTTAAGCTTCTGTACCTGCAAAGGGCGGGGCCAACTCAATACTGAACCCTACGGACTAAGACTGGGACACCTTTAAAGTTCATGTGCGTGTAAAGGCAGGCGTCCCAGTACTTTTGGCAATATAGTGTGTGTTTTTTGTCTTTGGAAAGCATGCTATAGCTAAGCAGGTGTGAGGTGGGTTTTAACCTTAAATGTGGTGACCTTCAGTGCTCAGGATTCATTCTGCTGTAGGTGACAGTATAGCCTTTGGTTGCTATCAAACAGCTGTGTCCCTCTGTTCCTGTGGACTCTGAGAAAAGGATTTTAAGGTGAGTACAAAAATCCTATTTTAGTTTAGTTCTTAATGCTCCCACTAAAACCAGCATTTACATGGTTTCAGGTGTTGGTAGAGGGCTAGGCACTCATCTTTGGCATTAGAAATGCTGGATGATTATTCTAACTGCTGTCACTGGACATCCAAACAACAGCATTAGCTCCTGCCACAATAAGTTACATGCCCCACTATTAGGAGTTTGTTATGAATTCTAAAGCACATCAATGTGCATTAACCAATATAATCCAATAGGAAAACATCTTTCCTTGTATAGACAGATCTTAACTGAAGGAAGATGATTGGCTGTTATGGTTTCCTACAGCTTACACATCGTCACTGTTCTCTAAACAGTAAACGTTGCTTTCATGTTCAATAATGTCGTTACCCTACCCCATATTTTGCACAGCATGAAATATTGGACCCACCTGTCTGTGAGGAGTGTAATCTCGACCTGCACTTGGAGAACGAGAACTAGCTCTCCCGTACTCCAGGCGCTCCCTTTCAGATCCAGGATGGTGATGGTGGTGGTGGTGATGATGGTGGTGATGGTGGTGATGCTTTCGGTCCCGGGTACGTCCACGTTCTTCTGAAGGCAGATCACATGATTGTGTGGTGGTACTGAGCTCGGTACCAAGACCTGTTAGAGAGTATTACATAAAAAGAAATAAGAGAGGTTTACATTTATTTCCTATTTGTTTTGCATCTTTCAAAGTACACAATCTGTAGTGCTCAGTTCACAATGGATATCTACTTTAGCCACTGTAATTTTCAAATCTCTTTCGATTCAACTATAAATTAGAAAAAGATGTTACTTTTTTTAAAATAAGGACAATTATCCTGGCATGTTAGCTTTGCAATTGAGTCTAATATGCTGCTAGGAAGGAGGACAGGAAAGGTAGACACTGAGGGGGAGATCGACTAAAATGAAAAATTCTGAATTTGGTGCAGCTCTTCATAGAAACCAATCCATCTTAATTGAACAAGCTGAAGTTAGAAGCTGATTGGTTACCATGAACTGCTGCACCAAATTCTGAGAGCTCCAGTTTTCATAAATCCCCCCCCCCCCCCCCCCCCGCCCGGGACATTTATCAAACAAATTAGCAAATGCAAATCAGGCTGCTTCTTAGTAAAGTCTAGGCGAGATTATTTACTACCTCTGAGCCTATTATTATTATTATACAGTATTTATAAAGCGCCAATAGTTCGCTCAGCGCTGTACATTACAAAGGGGGACAGAACATGTGACAGAACAATACCAATACAATGCAAAACATGAAGGGATTGAGGGCCCTGCTCTTTCGAGCTTACCTATAATCCTTGGTTGAGACAATTTTTCACAGTTGTGCAACAGAATTATCACTGGAGATGGGACAGATTTTTGTCAAGATGAGGCAGATTTTCACTCCAAATAGGCACACAACTTAAAAGTTGTCAGGATGTTTTTTTTCCTGCTGTGGTGCTATTTTCTTACAGAAGAGGGAGTAAGGACTCAGACTGCCCTATTATCATACATTTGTCTCATAATCTGCTTCAGTTTTCCTGTTTAGTTTTGCTTTGCTGTGTGACAAATGTATATTTTCTATGATAATATGCCTTGTCTTTTACACTAGTTAAGTTCCTAATCTGTTAAAGCCTTCACCTTTTTTTTAATGAAAAGTAAATTACCCAGCTTGTGATAAAATAAAAAAAGCAACTCTTGCTGCAGTACTCATTTCGTCCAAGGTACTCTCCCTGCAGACTCACCTGCGACCAAGGGTCAGTCCTCTTTTCAGTCAAATGACACCCAGCATCATCCAACCCACTTTTTGTGAGCTCAAACTGTCATGGACACATTAGCGGGGGTTCATCAAGATGCAGGCCTAAGCCCCCAGTATTGCTAGATAGAAGGGCACTGCTCTGTCCAGGAGTAAGGATTTCCAATGCCGAAAGTGAAGAAGTAGGACTCCAGGGGGTTTATTTACTAAAGCTGGAGAGTCCAAAATCAGACTCCCTTCTGCATAGAAACCAATCAGCTTCTAACCTCAGCTTGTTCAATGAAGCTTTGGCAATGAAACCTGGAAGCTGATTGGTTTCTATGCAGAAGGGAGTCTGATTTTGGACTCTCCAGCTTTAGTAAATAAACCCCCAGATGTCATGGAACAGCCTTAAGATTGCATTCAGAATTATAGAATTACATACCTGCTAAAAAAAAGAGTCACCCTACTAAGCTTTATGATGTCCTGTATGTTAAAGGGTTGCCTCTTTGGTGATGCTCGGCCACTACATGTTTTATACATTTTGGGGTGTGTGAAAAACCTGACAGGTGTTCTAATCCTTCTCCACTCTATCCACAATTTAAAAATACTTCTGCCTTTAGTTATACTTTTAGATTTGCTATTTTTGTCTTACAGTAATACTCACTGTATGTCTAAATGGCCATTTGTCAAATTTTGTTTCTTTCATGTTTTTAAAACAGGAACCAGCTATACATGCCTCCCAACTGTCCTAGGTTGTGCAGGACTATCCCACATTTTCACCATAGTCTTGGAGTCCTGTGGATAGAGGCTTTGTCCTGAAAAAAGGCTCTGCCCCTGCTACAGGGTGCTCAGCATTCATATGCAAATCACCATATGATTTGCATATAAATAGCTGGTCAGATGATTTGCATATAAATGAGCTGATGGTGAGATTTGCATATAAATGAGTTGCTAAGGCTCCTTCATTTGGAAAGCTGAGGGAGGCTCCTCCTCGATTCCAGTCACATAGCATAGCTGAAGGGAGGACTTCTGTTGCCACTGCATGTGAGGTCTATATTGCATCTGTTGAGTTAATTTAAAGCTGATTTTTGCTCATTTCCATGACTATGTTGGCAGTCACTCCCCCCCCCTTCCACAATATATAAAGCTGTTTTTTTTTGTTTACCTTTTTTTTTTATATTTTCTGCCTGGCCTGCCCTCTTCCTCCATTATCACCTGGGCAATAATGATGTCTCCTTTGCTCCTGCAGCCTCCTGGGATATCTGCATCACATATCCCAGGAGGCTTCACGTTCCTTGCAGCAGCCAGAGGAGAATAGCACGGCATTGGAGGTGGGCTGAGCTGGCGCATGTCATCAGTTCTCTACTGAGAAAAGGCTGGGTGGAGGGGTCTGTATTGAGCAGTTGGAGAGGAGCTTAGAGAGCTTTAGGGCTAAGGGGGGAAATCTGTACTGGGTGAGGAATTGGAGCTGCTGGACGAGACCTGTATTTTGGGGTATTTGGGCTTGGGGTGGGTTTGGGGGTGATGGTTTGGGAGTTGTACTGGGAGGAAGGGGTACATTTTGGTTGTACCATTTACACTAGCCTGTGCATTACACACATCTAACTCCTGTACTCCTATGTGGAATCCTGTACTAAATCCTGTACTAAATGTGGACTAGACTCCATCAAGAGTTGGTTCTGACCAGTTCGATAGATTGCTTTAAAATAGTCCTGGATTCTTTCCTAAATGCGCATAATATAACTGGATACTAACATTTATCAGTAAAGTTGGTCCAGGGAATATCCAATTGCCTCTCGGGGGTTCAGGAAGGAATTTCTTTCCCTGCAGGAGCAAATTGGATCATGCTTTGCTGGTTCAACTGTGGGTATAGGATTGTGTATATGGGATTGTAGATTTTTCTTTCCCTTTTTATTGGTTGAACTAGGTGGACTTGTGTCTCTTTTCAACATGACTATGTAACAATAATAATATGCTTGGTGCTCTCATAGTAAGCAGTAAGATACCAGTAATAATTCCAATGCTAGATAACACAATATTAGGAAAAAGTAATATTCTGAAGATATTTTGAAAAGCATCAATCTTTTACTTACCTGATTCTAGATCCACATAGCGTGTTAGGGATCTTTCAGACACTTGATGCCGCCTTTCTCTTCTGCGCTGGTGCCCATGGCGAGGGCCTTCATCAGGTGTGACCCTCTCCAATGAGTATTCATTTAGCCGGATGCCTTTAGACCGAGAATGACCAAGCATAGAGGCTGAACGTTTCATGGGACTTCCATCCACAATGGTCTGCAAAATCGATACACAGCTATGGTAACCACCAGCACACCCATTAAAGGATTACACCACTCAAGAGTTAAACTTTATTCACTGGCTTTAGCTATAATGTGTGAAGTTACAGACAGGATTTTGGGGTCTGTCCCACACTTTTCATCATTCTTTATCATCCAGCATAGGCAGGCCACAACTACTTGTCTGCAGCTTGAAGACACAGTTTGGAACAGAACCGGTGGTGCAAAAGGTTCAAAACATTGCATGCTGAACACACATGACAACAGTCCTATTCTGAAGATGATAAGGTACCCATTTGTTGGTTGGAAGGCAGCCCACATCTTCCTAATGCATAGTTTTTTTTTTTTTTTTTAACTAAATCACAGCTATCTTTTATTCTAGTCAAAACTGGTTCATTTACTTTACCTTTTTTGTATTGAGAAAGCTAGAAACTGTCCATGAAGAAAAAATACTACCTAGCAGCAGCGTTTCCAAACCGTACTATTCAATCCAGGTCTGTTTTGTAGACTCATTTATAAGCAACATTTTTTTTTAAAGGAACTGTCAGTATGTCACTGTTGCAACCACGTACATTTTCGTTTTCCTTCTTCATCTTTTATTTACCAGTACATATTTGAATCTGATTGGTTGCTATGGACCAACCATGACAGTTCCTTCTTGGACACTTGGATATATGAAGCCCAGTTGTATTGTGCAAATGTCACTTAACACATTAAACAATGTATTTTAAGGTGAGCTGCAAGAAACATATTTTTATTTAGAGAAGCTTATATTGGCAATGTGTAAAGGTCATCATAGTGGTCATGTTTTGTCCACTAAAGCCTTTAACGTTTATCACAACCTATATTTAGGTTACATGTAGGTTCACTATGGACATCTTTGCATCCAGGTATTCTGTGAGGAGTAGGTATTGTGGATATAACACTATATGAAATAACACATTCAGTTATTAAAATGAGAAAATAAATTCAAAATCTTGAATTGAAAGAATATAAGAAAATGTTCCCTTTATCAATGTCTGTTCAATAAGTTGAGGAACATAAGATTTCACTCATTCATATAACACTGCCAAGCCATTTTTATAATTTAGTATTTATAAGAATAAGTTTGTAGCTTTTCTTAAATTGCCAAAAATGTCATTGTATCTTTCTTGCAACAACTGAAGCAATACCCTTCCTTAAATTCCTCTACCTCTCCACTCTGCCAATTTATTACTTTTGTCTGAAGCCTACACAGGGCTATTTAGGTCAGTTACTAGAATCCCTTGAAAGAGGGATTTTGACATATCGCACACAAAAAGGGATGCAACTTTTCTTACTTCAACACTTTGTATGAACATCAGAAACATTCATGCAAACTGAACAAAATTTCACTGTATGTTTTCAAATAAATTTACCCCTGTGTCATCAGCGCCATCTAGTGGCCAAAATATTGTATATTTTCTCATTGAGGTATTTCAGAGTACTATGCCACATTTTGGCCACTAGATGGAGCTGATGAAATAGGAGTTAATTTATTTGAAAACATACAGTGAAATTAAGTTCAGCTTGCATGAATGTTTCTTACATTCGTGCAACAAATGTTTTATAAACTGACCCCTAAAACTAGTAATATCATTATAGTAATGGCAGGCCCTCCATGCAATCAGTATTAGAAAGTGCTGGAAAGCATACATCAATATTTACAGAAGCAAGTGGGTATCCACAATATACCCATTTGCCTATATACAGCTGATTTAGAAAAGGATTGTCATATTTTTCAACATACATACACAGCTGTTTTAATAAGGGTTGCTATTTGTAAATAAAACTTACATTTTAAATGTTAAGTTTAAATTGCCTAACCCTCAGTTTTCTTAAAAGAGACTTTACCTTCAGAATTCTGATGTCCATAAACTTTGCACATATACAATGATATCATCCCTACTTTCCCAGTTGACTGGAATTATATTTTTTACTACTGGCTCACAGCACAGCCAATAGAAAAAGACAGTTACAGCCAACTGGAAAAGGTGGGGTGATGTATTTGTACCTGGGCAGACTTCACTCCCCACCTATGATATGACTTTTGAAAGTAAAGTACATTTTTACAGAGAATTTTCACAGCTGCTATCTAGGGATTACTGGAAACTAGCATTTTCAGTAAAGACTTCAACACCCTCTGTTTACAGGTAATGTTAGATGAAAAACCATAAGGAATGGCAGATGTCACTTTAGAGATAGTGATGCCTGAATCTTCAGAATGCAAGGATGCCTTGTCCTCTTCTACATATTGTGGTTCATGTGGCATAGTGACATACATGCCAATGGATAGAAATACTGAATGTAGAAGGCTACCAGGCATCCAATACTCTGTCCGAAGGTTGGAGTGTGCCATAGGAGAGGCAAGTTTTAAAACAGGACTTTAGGGAAAGAAAAAATGCTCCCTTACTGTGTGGCTGCTTTCAAATTTTAAAGATTTTTTAGGTCTAGGGGGCTGCAGAAAGACCAGCCTCACAGCTTCTTTTTCCCTATCCTCTGGTGGTCACAGGTCCTCTAACACCATTAGGTCCATTCCACAGCCCAAAGCACTGAACTAAATGTGAGGATGCTGAAGCACAGAGGAGAAGAGGAGATTGCTGATTGCTGGGAGAGTGGTGGATTGGGTAAGTTAAATTGCTTTTTTTTCCAGCCCCTAGACCAAAAGCAGCATTTCACTCTGAGCAGTGCAGTGGCAGCCCCACTGCAAGCAAGAAGTTTTCTTTTTCCCAGAGATGGGCTGTCACTGTCTTCTTTGCAGAGGCCTCTTTTAAAAAATTGTATTCTAGCAATACAGTTGTGTTAAGAGCCATCTAGTTTCACATGTCCCTGAAAGCCACCTGAATGCACACATTTACATGAAAATACATATACATATATTCATGTTGTATACATTCTTGTGCATATGTGAAAAAAGGAATGGCCATTTTCATACAAATTGAAAGCTTCATAAATCTAAAAAGTCCATCTTATTAGGGTGTAAATATAATGATAAAAGTGTTGGATTCTGGAAAAGTTTCAGGCCATATATATATATATATATATATATATATATATATTTTTTTTTTTTTTTTCTAACAACAGAATCATTTTAAAGGAACGTTTGTAATTCCTTTATGCTATCCCATCTAACAGTACCTGTGCATAGAGACTGCCAAAAGCATTCTACTGCACCCAAGGGGCGGACTGACAACTCATGGGGCCCCCGGGCAATAGGGGATCATGGGGCCCCTGTGTCCTTGCTCAAAAAAGCCTATGAAAAAGGTACCAGGGGCATCTCATGGGGCCCCCTACTGACCCCGGGCCCTTGGGCAGTGCCCGAGTTTCCAAATGATCAGTCCGCCCCTGACTGCACCCTTTCTCATCTAGTGGTTAATGGTCAGTCTAGATATGGGTGGATTCTAGTGGTTGAGTAGCTTTGAAACACCCACTGGCTTTGGGTTGGAGTTCCTGGCTTTGCTAGCCATAGGGTTCTTACTTCAGCTTTCTATGAAATATAAATGAAAAATCTGTCAAGGAGCATGCCATCCCAATGCGATGGCTGTTGCCAGGGGATGGAGATAGGAACTCCTGCACAGAGATTTCACTGCCTTAGCCCCAAGATATCCATTATAAGGCAATATAGGTAATCTAAAGCTGTTTAAGAGTGAAACAAACAGTAGAAAGACAGGAAGAAAACATAGTGACAGTGTAGATAGAGAAACTTGGGGTGTCAACAAAAGTCAGAGATGGACAGAGAGAAGATAGGAGAGAGTGTTAGAGCATGGTGTAGAGGTGTTACATACACTGAGATTACTCCCTCTGGGTCGAGTTTTCCTTCGCTGCTACAGTAAGACAAGACAGAGAGGAGAAGAGAAACAAGAGGAAGGGAGAAACCACAGGATGTACAGACATCATGGGGAGAGAGAGAGAGACGAAAGGACAGACAGCAGGGGGAGACACAGAGAGAAAGAACACAAGTTAACAGCAGTTAGACCCAAACACTTTAATTTCAACATGTCCATTCTGGAGGAAAATGACTACACGGAGTTGACAGAACATAACAACCACAAGAGGAAGACGTGTTACAACAAAGTTTATTCCTACAAGTTCCACATGACTGAAAATACAGGTTTACAAGCTGGACACAACCTTAAAGCAGAACAAAACCAATCGATTTATCTGTTTCCCAAAAAAGATCTAATCAAGGAATGCCGTAAAAGATAACTGTCACTCTCAACCAAACTGTTATGCCTTTTTCACACCATCTGCAGAGACATTGGTTTTCCTGCATGCGTTCTACAGGGACACAAAGAAAACAATTCTCTATGTGCCCTGTTCACACCACAGCACTGCTATCACGTGCAGATTTTTTCTGCGCAGGAAACTGCAACATGTATGCAGTTTTCAGCGTGGAAAAAGAACATGACATCTACATTGTGGTGTGGACAGGGCAGAAGAGGAAGTGAAAAACGCACATGAAAACTGACATCAACATGCATGAAAACTCATCGAGACACGAATGAAGATTGATGTACATTCGTGTCTCTGCAAGTGAAATCTGCAAGTTTCTTTTATCAGTCTTTATGCACGGTATGGTGTAAATGAGGCCTTAAACCATCAAATGGCTGGTGTCATACCTGATCAGACGTGCGGCACCATGGCAATGACAGATTAAACTAAGGCTAAGATGGCAAGTTCCTTGGCTGTAAAGGATGTGGGAGTTTAGTTCTGCTTTAGGTAACACAAATGAAAGCAATGAAAAATTCTGTGTGGAATGGAAGATAGGTAAATAGTGACAAGCATTGGCTTAAAAAAATCAGAATAAAATGAAAACTGATACTTCAGAGTGCATGCTGGCTCAATGAATCATCCATAGGCTTCCTTTACCTCTCTGCCCTCATTTGCAATGGAATCTCACTCCTTTGGTTGAATACTTTTTAATATCCAACAAATAGAGTAAAACCCTCTATAATGGCTAATACAAGTGGGAGGAGCTGGGAAATCAGCTGAAGTTCTAGAGAGATAAACAAATTA